GAAATACCAAACAAAAACCCCCCCTTAGGCTAAAAAAAATTATTTTTAATCCTTTTTTTTAAAAAAATTCCTTAACTTTTACCAAACACCTTTCCGCCCGGGGGCCCCTTCCCTGTTCTGAAAAATTTTTTCGTACGGGGGGGGCTGCAACAGGATGAAAGGCTTGGCCCCAAAACCCCCCCGGATTTCTGGGGGGCCATAAATAATAAAACTTTTCCCCTCCAAGCCGGCGGACATATGAGGATGTGGATTGGTTTACCGGAAACCCTGTTATCACCCGACCCCCGTGGGAAAACGGGCTAAAAAAAACAGGGTTTTACCCTTTTGGGTAAATTGCTTCCAAGCTTAAAAAAACCAACACGTGGGCTTTCATATTGTCTTAACATTAGGCTAGGCATAAAAACAAAGTTATTGGGCTGTTACGTTAAAAGCTAGCGTGAACTCTTCTACGGGGTTTCAAAACCGTTACAAACCGTTAATAACCAGCCGGGTAACTGGCTTAACCAACCAGGTGGCCTTCAACTGCCCGATATTAGGACTCCGGAGGGACCCATGCCCTGAAAATCTGACGTTTTAAAGTCTATTTCTCCAAGGTTTTCATTGAAAAAATGAGAGTCGCCCCTGCTCCCGGGATGCGGTTTCTCACGGTCCTTTTCCTCGAGATGGTTTGGTTAAGTTTCCATTCCGTTTTGTTCTCCACCGATCATAGTTAATGGCATTCCTAGATTACACAGCCAGTTGGCCGTCTGTGTGTTATCCTTTGCTGTGGAATGATTGGCTTAAACCGGTCGATAAAAAATACATTCTTGAGAATTGTGATGGGGGGGGGGGACAGTTAATTAACCCCAGTGTTTTACTTTATAATTAAGTACCACCACAACATCCTGCTACTTGTTTCCCCACACTTCTCCACCACCGGCTGTTTCGTTCGTGTACAGAGGAGCGTTTTGGTTCTGATGTGAAAAAAAAAACAGCCACGCCAAAACTAACCTACCATACCAAAAGGACATTTTTAAAGCCTTTCTCTCTCATCGATATACATTATGACCTTAACGAATCGGATACCAGTCGGACAAAATCAAGAATTCCAAGAATTTGAAAAATTCAAAGTGGGCGCTTTATTGTAATAACACTTCAGTTTCAAGGTTATCCTTTCACATTCAGGTACCATTAGTTTCATTTACTTAGTTGATGATTTCACAACAAATCAAGACACTGATTGGCCCCAAGCAGTTTAGTAATAAAGCTGGACCACCCAGGCATGAAAAGAAAAAAGTGGAAAGTACATTGCACTCAAATACTGTATTTAAATACAATTTTTTGAGTACTTGTACTTTACTTGAGTTATTCCATTTTTCTGCTACTTGTACTTCTACTCCACTACAGTTCAGAGGTAAAATGGTGTTACTTTTAACTCCACTACATGTATTTTAATACCTTTAGTTACTTTACAGATGTGGATGAATGATGTGAAATATAATCAAGTGTTAAATCAGACTTTAGTTCCACCTGGAGTAAATCCACAAGCTACCCTGCAGTATACAAAGTACATTCAAACTAGCTGCACCTTACCAGCTTTGAGAACACTTTCATGATCAATCATTATAAAACATATCATATATATTATTCTGAAATGGACCAATCTGCACAATGACTACTTTTGCTGTGGCTACTTTGACTAAATTTTGATGCCAATACTTTCACTTGAGTAACATTTTGAATGCAGGACTTTTATTGTAACAGAGTATTCCTACACTCTGGTACTTCTACTTTTACTCAAGTACAATATCTGAGTACTTCTCCCACCTCTGGAAAATAACAGGTACATGTATATTGTAAAACAGGACAACAAATCCCACATGTACTAGCTGTCTGTTTGCTGCACGTGATGTAGTGAATGATTTGTTCATCTTAATAAAAAATGTGTCACATTGTTATGCTATGTTCCTTGTATAAGAATAAAATAACAATGGAGAGATAAAGAAGGTCAACATTGTGTAAATGAGTCATTACACTTGGATGTAACATTGACGCACTGTTGGATACACCTGTACAATCTTAAGCAAACAAATGAGATAATAATAGAATAGAATGGGAGGGGTGAAACCCTCTTTAATGGTCACACATGCAGAGCACACAGCACACACAGTGACATGTGTTCTCTGCTTTTAACCCATCCTAGTACCAGGAGTCTAGTATACTAGGAGCAGTGGGCAGCTATTGTACAGCGCCCAGGGAGCAATGGGAGTGAGGGGGGAAGGGGGGTGTCCGATACCTTGCTCAAGGGCACCACGGCAGGGCAGGAGGTGAACTGGGACCTCTCCAAGTAGCAGTCAACACTCCATATTTAGGTCTGGTCGGGGACTTGAACCGGCAACCCTACGTCTCACAGTCCAAGCCCCTACTGACTGAGCCACTGCCGGGCGGCAGACACTTAAAAAAACAAAACATTACAACCGCCCTGCAATAAAGTTCAGTTTTGGCTGACTTTGTGTCAGGTTACTGCTCAGATCCTTCATGCAATTAAAAGTCCTTACATAAAACCTTCAACTAATATTAGGATGGTAATATGAATGCATTCTGTTTAAGTTACAATTGAATACATGGGTGAGCCCCTCCAAAGGGTCACACGATTACCTTGAGGGGTTGTCAGATGATTAAAGTGGTATGAAAGAAGGAGAAACATAAAGGAAGCCTTCATCTTCCTGAATTCCTTATTTTCTCCAGTCTTTGCCTCTTTACCCCTCCTCTTTACCCCTCCTCTTTATCCCTCCTCTGAAACCCCCCAGAATGAACACAGTTGATACATGTCATGCTGTACTGTGTTTCGGCTAAAGAAAGCATTACACATAGAAATATCTCTTGTTTTTATGTTCATACAGTCATTTCTTTATATAAAACCACTTTGATAACAGCAAGAGCTCTGGTCACTTTTCAAAATATTACAATTAAAGTCAGATGAAATGTATTCTGTTGTAAAAATGTACTTAAATTGCAGTTATACACAACATTACTTTAGACCTTTTGATGTGTTATCAGAAAGAATTGTCCTCAACATCCTCTTTTATCTCTCTCTTGCAGTTATCGCGGTTTTATTCTTTTCCTCACCTTCCTCTTCTACACGGCCTACCATCTTTCACGGAAACCTATCAGCATTGTTAAGGTGACTAGGACAACTCAATTCTTTGTTATCTACTGTCTTAGCAGGGACGTGACACGTGTGGGTCAGGGGTCAAATGCTGCCAGAAATAGGCTCTTGAATTACACACATTGGACTCAGATCTTATCACATCTCATGTTGTATTGTACTGTATCTGGGAGGGCAATAATAACCGTGTCACTTCACCTTCTTCCTGTTATGTTTGTCTGTCTGATTCTCAGGGTGAGCTGCACAGAAATTGTTCCACAGTCATTCGGCCGGCAGACCTTAACATAACCAATAATGAGACGTGGTGTGACTGGGCGCCCTTTGGTAAGTCTTTTATTTGATTTCCACTCTAGTTCGCTCACTTCACTTATGAGTAGGCATTGCAGACTCTTTTTTAGTATATCAACAATCACTTAGTGCAGAAAGTCTCTGGTGCACTGGATACGATGCCATAATCAGCTCAGCAAGGCCACTTAAACCACACTGCTATTAACTGTCCTAAATGTTACTTACTAAGCAGGTTGTCAGTCTATGTAATGACTTCAAAAACAGAAAATAAAAATACAAGTCAATGCTTGTCGGTGTTTGTTCACATTGCAATGCAACAATGAAACAGGAGCTTCTCCTAGCTGGGACAAAATGAAACTGTATGGGCGTGTCACTTTCCCAAATAATAACTTCAGAAATCCAAACAATATGTTGTTCTGTTATGTTAAATCCTTGAGTCCTCACTGACACTAAGAGAGTGGATCACATCACTCCTGTTCTGAAGTCCTTACACTGGCTTCCTGTGTGTCAAAGAATTGATTTCAAAATACTGCCGCTGGTTTATAAAGCCCTGAATGGTTTAGGCCCAAAATACATTTCTGACCTCCTGCTAAATGATGAACCATCCAGATCTCTCAGGTCTTCAGGGACTGGTCAGCTTTCTGTCCCCAGAGTCAGAACTAAACATGGAGAAGCAGCGTTCAGTTATTATGCTCCAAATATCTGGAACAAACTCCCAGAAACCTGCAGGTCCGCTGCAACTCTGACTACTTTGAAATCCAGGCTGAAGACTTTTCTTTTTGCCGCTGCTTTTAATTGAACTATTCACATCTTAAACTGCACTGTAACTTGTATTCATGTATTTCGTGTTTTAATGTTTATTTGATTATCTTTGCTTTTTAATGACTGTTTTTAAATGCCATTTTCTTAATTTCTTTCATTTTTGTAAAGCACCTTGAATTGCCTTGTGTTGAAAAGTGCTATAATATATATATATAAACGTGCTTTGCCTTAAATGTATTTCCTGTTAATATAACACAGCCAAGTATTTCGAGTTCTTCTCGTTTCGTTTTGTAGCTCCATAAACATGATATCGTTTATAATGTGTGCACTCAGTAGGACTTTTTGTATAGTGGCAAATGACCTTCTTCCGCGTAAACCTGACTTCTTGTTTGCATTATTGACAGAAATGATATATACAATATAAGAATGCCTTTAATCTCTAATTGAATCGCACACAACGAAAGTGAGTGTAGTGATGCTGATGAAACATGCAGGACTATAAATGGTGGTATGGAGGAAGCTAATGGTTTCCTCTGTCTCTCCCCTCTAGACCAGGACAACTACCAGACCCTGTTTGGGATCCTGGATAACTGCTTCCTGGTGGCCTATGCCATCGGCATGTTTTTCAGGTTTGTGTTTGTTGGGACTTGCACACATTATTCTGCCTTTGTGTCTGAGTGTGGGTTTGTGTGTTCTACTGACTCATTTATTGTGTTCGCAGTGGGATATTTGGAGAGCGCCTGCCTCTGCGGTATTACCTGAGTTTTGGGATGATAATGAGTGGAATTTTCACATGTCTGTTTGGCCTCGGCTTCTACTTGAAAATCCACTCGATTTATTACTATGCGGTCATCCAGGTAAAGACACAACATCACAAATGTATGCGTTTTCTTTCACTCCCTGAGAACAAAACAAAACACTCCCCCAACAGAATGTCCACATGCACACAGCATCTCCAGATTGCTGTGAAACCTACTGAATTGGTTTTACGTTTGTTTGAATGAATACTATATTGGCAACAACAAAAGTGTGTGTGATGATACATAAAAAGGCAAATCCCACAGAGAATTAGCTTGCTAGATTTAATTGTGGTGCAGTAGTTGGAATAAAGAGGATAGAAGTCAAAGCAACTGAAGACCCCTATGATAGATGTGACTCTGCAAGTCAGGGCGTCGGCCACAGCACTTTGTCGTTTCAGAAAACAACAAAAGTTATTTGATGATTCACTTCCACTCAAAGTCTAGGTTTCACTGGTCTCTCCTTCCTTAATGCGTCTCTGTGTGGATGCTTACTCAGGGCAAACTCAGGCATAATCAGAAGAGTTGTTGTTTCACTTCAGTCTTTTCTTCAAAAGTCCCTTTGACCACACCGGCAGCCTGCACGGTCAGATGTTAGTCCTGTTAGAGCATTTTCACCTCGGGAACAAGTGGAGAGCCAGGTTTGTGTCTTGAATGTCATAAATGTTATAAAAATAGCCATCAGAATCACCCAAAGTTCAAAGTGTTTTACCAACAGTCGTAAACCTCATGATATTTATTTACACTCACTCTTTTACTCACTATTTCCTTTTTACCAGCCGTAACTTTGGAAAAGCTGGTGAGACTGTATTAGACTGATCCAACACGGCATGTGCTGTTCAATACAGAACTCACCTTCTCTTGCTTATGCATTCAATGCTGTTCTGTGTCAGCTGACCTCCACACCCTCACATGACCCCTGGAGTCAAATTCCTCAAGTAAATTAAACAACCTCTGGGGAAATAGAGTTAGAAATATTCCTCACCCTGTAAACAATTAAACCTCATCAGAACGTTAATGAGTATTAACTCCTATTCAACACAAAGGAGGCGTGTGGCGCAGTGGGTTAGTGTGTTGGTGATTGGATCAGGGGGATCATGGGATCACAGGTTCAAACCCCACTGCAGTCAGCATGTCGTTGTGTCCCTGAGACACTTCACCCCAAATTGCTCCTGTGGTGATTGTCCACAGTATTGAGTATGTAAGTTGCTTTAGATAAAAGCGTCGAACAAATGACATGTAATGTAACAAGAGAGATTCCCCCACCACAGGTGTGATCAGTGTGAGCTCTGTGAGTTCTGACCTTAAGGGATCTCATGGTTGCTTAGTCAAACTTCACATGACTCTCAGCGACTCATGTGACTGCAGGAGTGTGTTTGGGCTTATATAGGTTTGGCGTGGGAATGTTAAGACCCTCCGCTCGCTTGCCTTCTCTCATTCTCATCTTTTATGCTTTTTTATTGAAATCATGTAGGCTTGTTCCCGTGTTAGGAGGCTTTGATGCAGTCAGTGAACTCTGGTTGCTTCTCTGCAGGTCTTCAACGGCATCATGCAGACCACCGGCTGGCCTGCAGTCGTGGCCTGCGTCGGCAACTGGTTTGGAAAGGGGAAGTGAGTACTGCACGGCGACAAAGTCCTGCTGACTATGCTGGGATGTATTTGTAGCTGGCTAACTCACACATGCACATTAGTCACGTTTTTGACAGCCCAGTGAAACCTGGGTTTGAGTTATCTCAGACCACAAGCATCACATCCATATCATATATATAATCAGCCCCTCAAATTCACACCACTGTTCAAAAGTTACAAACCCCCTGCCACAAAAAGTTGGTTGGGCGCACTCAGAATACAATGTGAAGGGCAGAAAGGGACAAAGTTAGCGCTGAGCAACAGTTCAACAGATATGGGTTCAAACAACTATAAGCTAATCATCAAAACATGTGCATATTCAAATAGGATCAGGTTCCTGTTTCACTGTCAAGTGCAAGATATCCTTCTTCTTTTGAGGCAGAACCTATTTCAAATTGTAATAAAACCCTTTCAGTTTAAAAAAAACAACGTCAATCAGAACATCCGAAACAGCTGATTAAAGAAGATTTAAACTAAGTTTATGTGGAAACTGATTATGTGTACGTGCATAAAAGAAGCCAGGCCACCTGGAAGAATCCGATTAAGCCGTATATCATTTAACCTGCACTGTAATGAACTGAAGAATCTTTATTTATATTTTTTAAGGTTATTTTTTTGTTAACACTAGAACCGCCAACGGGTCAAATTGACCAGCTATTGATTTTCAAGGTACAATGTTCTTTTATTTATCATGTAGAACAGTGAGTTTTGATCGCACAGGGATGAAACTTATACCAATAGAATCTGTGGACTCTCAGCTTTTTATATGGTATAGTTTGTGCAGATAGCATGAAGTATAAAATATTGCTACCAGTGCAGATTTAAACGCTTGGTGTTAGACTTGTGTTTTGTTTATGTTCAAATCTCTCTATCGATCTATAACTATCTATCTATCCCTCTCTCTCTCTCAATCTATCTCTCTATCTGTAAGGAACCGCAGTAGACAAAAGGCGTTGCTATAGCAACACGTCATGTTTACGCTGCATTTTCTATGAGGTAAATATTACCCGCTGGTGCTGATAGGTATAAATGGCAATATTTTTGGCAATTTTTTCAATCTGACTTCATATTGACAATTTTTTTACAACAGAGGGTGCTACATAACACACTTTCAGGAAAAGTCACGGACTGGGAGACTTTAAGATTTTATTGAAAAAAAGTTACATACAATCAAAAAACAGCTGCAGGTAAAATTGACCGGTTGGCGGTTCTAGTGTTAAACACTTGTGAGCTGTTTTTAAAGATTCCCTTACTCAGTAGTACCAAATTGTCTTTGGGCTGGGTGCCAAAAAGCAACTAGGAAAGTCGTAATATTGAAAGACAGTGCCACGCATTCATGGTTTTTTCATGGAGTTTGTTGGCAAAAAGATAAACATGGCAACCTAATATATCGAAGCAAAAACAAATGGATGTATCATTACTATGTGCGGCACATTCTGACACCCTATTATTAAAGGAGAAATCATTGCCTACATAATCATAGTAACCACCTCATTGAGGGTTTTATGTGAAGTACTAAAGGAATTTGTCAGGATTACTCAGCTGAAGATAAAGCTTCATTATCTTTTTGTGGGCTTCCTGTTCAATTGCGATGTGTTATGCACATAATTGCAATTTATTGGAGCCCAACCCCTGCAGAGTTCACTACGAAATCAGACAGAGAAACGCTGCAAAGCTGAACTCAGCATGCTTGCAGCCAAATTAGAGATAATGAGCAAGTGTCTGAATGCCTCGCTGCGTGATGACTGCTAATCATCACTGCACACACACATATTCACTCACAGGGTTTTACATACTGCGTTGTGTATTTAAATACCGGCCTGTGCAGAAAGAGACAGCCATTACTTTCCCATCTCAATCATCAGCTCTGCCAACACACGAACCCTCTGCCCTGACATCCATGTTTCACTCTGTCCCTTCTAAAGCTGCCTTTCTTTCCTCCTCCACCCCTCCTCCGATTCACATTTATGACTTTCACCATCCTTTGTTGCAATGCTCTATTTCTCATGTATGACTCTAACTTCCTCGTTTCCTCACTTCTAGCTTCCCTCTCCCCTGTTTCTCATTATATCTGCCCTCAGACTCCCGTTAGTCTCCCTCTTCCTCTCCGCATCACCTCTTCTCCCTTGTGTTCGGCTTCGATCCACTTCCCATCCCTAATTTGTCGCCTGTTCCTCTTGGGATGGCTTGAACGGACACTTCTCCCCGTAAATAGGCGAAATAGACAGAATGGAGGAGAATGAAAGAATCGATTAAAGAAAGCTGACAGGAAAGGTAGAGGTATAATAGGACAGGAAAAAGGAGCACTTTATCTACACTATTAATAAGAACATAAATAAAAGGAACAGGAATTGTCAGATGTAAAGAGGACTGATCATTGAGCTTTTGAGAGATAGTTAAAGCTGTGTGTATAGGGTTTGTATTATTCAGCTTTGGCTATATTTTGGATATTTGGCTTTTAAAGATTGGTGTCTTTAGTTACATGTCTTTTAATGAGCCCTCATTGCATATTTAAGATAAGATAAGATAAGATGGAGGTTTATTTATCCCTGTGGGAAAATATATAGTTTATTTAAGACCATTCAACACTTTAAGAGGGTTATTATTATTTAAGTCACCTTGAAACATTGAAAAGTCAGTCAGAGACAGCATGTTTAGTCTTAAAGATCTTATGTTAGTTTAAGTAGCTAGCCGAAGCTAATACAATATGCAAGAGATTAAGAAAACAGTGACATACTGTATCCTTTAGGTGTTCAACAAAGCACACGTTGTGGCTGAACTCAAGCACAAATGACTATTCAGCGTGGTGCTAAGTTAATCTTAAAGATAGAGTGAAAGTGAAAAAAATAAACCCATTAATTCACACAAAAATCAGTGGAATAAAAACGCGTCTCAAAGAATGATGAAGTGTCTCTGAGGTGGTGTATAAACTAATGCTGGTAGAAGAGGCATCCAATCTGACGTAACAGGAACAAAGAACCTGCACATAAAAAAGGAGGCGTATGAAACGTTGACAGAAGTGGGGCATCATGACTTGGCCTGTAGTGCACAGCAGAATGAAAAAAACACGCGTCAAACAAAGTAGACTCTGGAGATTTGATGTCAAGGTTTTTTAAAGGGGAGTGTAGCTGGTAGGAGTCTTTTAGGAAGTGGAGTTTGAGTTGATGTCCGCACAGATGGACCAGGTAAAAGCAGCAAAAGACTCCAGTCAGCAAAGTGTTTCCTCATCGCTGTGAAGTGTCTAGTCTCCATCTGTCGTGAGGAAGCGAGCCGGACAAGGACCAGATTGCCGTTGCGCAGATGTTGCCAAGAACACTTTCCTCATTAAAGTTACATAAACTGTCCTTTCCATTCTTCAACTCCATCATTTACAGCATGTGAAGGAAAACTCCATTCAGCTTCAAAAACCTACCCATGCATTTCCTGGCAACGAATTTGGGGGGGAATGATCTGAACATTTCTGTGATTATCCACCTGTGCTGGGGTTAGAAAGGAGGGTTTGACTTGACCTTCTCTATCTATTTTTTCATTCTTGACACAAATATATCTGTCACTCTTCACATCACAAAGTGCAACAATGGTAATGTCTTCCAGGAGAAACTCACGCCATTGAGTGAAGCCTTTCTGAACAACTCTGACCACTTTTGATGTTGTTACGTCATCCAACAGCATGATGTACAGATGAGTTTGACAGTGTATATCCCAGTCTCATTTACTCATTTAATTACACACATTTGGTAACTGTGCTTGTTCGCCAAATCCAGTTGAATGCAAATTAGGCTAGGAGTGTCTAGCTTGGTTCATGACCTCTGAGTCACAGCATACATCTTTTGTTTGCTTCTAAGAGGTCTGGTTGGCAGTTGACCAATTAGAGTTTGTTGCAGTAATAAATAAAGCTAGAATTGTGAAAAGAATAGTGAAAGGATGAGGAGATTATTGAACATGTTGGTGTTAGTCAATTGTCCATTGTCAAGTTAAACGATTGATGGGTTAGGGTTAAGGCCCTGACACACCAAACTGACACCAAAGAACACGTCCCGACGGACCCGATTGTTGTGTCACTTCACGTCTCCTTGGCTAAAATATCGCACTGGAACACACCGCAAAGACTTCAGCCGACGGCCAAGTAGCAGGTGCGCACTGCACATGCGTGAGTGGCAATAACTCTCCCTACCAGCAGGCGGCGGTAGTGAGTATTCGTCATTCAAAAGAGGCAACAACCGGAAGACAGACTGCATGATAACCGAGTGAAGAAGAACAGACTGCGTGATATAAACAAACAACAAATAGTGTGCATTCCATTTTCACTCTCATCCATCACAGACTGTTTCACATAACGACTTATAATCGAAAACATGTTTAGTGCGATACTGGAAAATGAAAAATAATAGCCGTCTGTGTGTGCCTTCTTTACTTCCGTTTCGCTTCTCATGCACTGATTCGCTAAGCTGAACAGCCAATCAGAGTGATTTATTTTGCCGACAGCCTCCCGAACATGTTGAATTGGGAGCGGAAGGTGTCGGCACGTCCGAAAAGTCACGATCGTGCTGGACACACCAATCTGAGTAGGGCGACAGGACGCTCATCGACGGCCAGACATCTATCGACGGCCGAAATCGGGCCTTTAGGGTTCGGCAAATCAGTCTTATTATCGGGCAGAAGCTTAAGTTAAGACTTTCGCCATAATCTGAAAACTCCAGGGTCGGTATAACGTGATTTGGGTGCGGACATAAGTATTCCCCTTATTTCTTCTTGTGACCTCATTATGCTACAGATGGTAGTGTCTTTCTAGAAAGAGATACACTCCAGAAAAAAAGCAAACGGAACAATTATGCTTAACTGAAGAGGACTTTCGCAAGACTTGCTGTCCCTCAATCAACGTTAATGCCACTTTTTAAATTCAATGCAAAACCTCAACCCTTTGCTAAAGTTTTGCAAATTGCAGGTTACTATCTAGACTTGATGAAGCTTGAGACTAACCACATCC